TGGGTGGAAAAGAGAAATCGATCTGGGTTCAAATCATAATTCAAAGGATGGCTTGAGGATATGTCACTTCAAAATTTTTAGATGGCATTTCCCAGCAGTTTAATGTAGCCATAAAAATGGTGGGTGGGACACAAATCTCATAAAAAGCAGAGCTGGAAATCTTAACCATGATGCTAAGAATCAGCTCCATCCTTTACCCAGCACACTTGGTCCAATATTAACCAGAGATCATATCGTTCCCAAGCTGTGCTCTTACTAGCATTAGCATAATTGTCCATCTCTGTACTGAGCACATATTTCTAAGATAAGAACAGATATTAAGGAGGAGCAGATTTCTGCATGTGTACCATGATTGTTTTAAAATCTTATTGTTCAATAAGAACAATAAGTCAACAGTGGTGTCCCCCAAGGCAGTGTTCTAGGACCAACTCTCTTCATACTCTATATAAATGACCTCTGTGATCATATTAAGAGCAACTGCATTCTCTGATGATGTAAAGCTATTCAACACCACAGATAATACTGCTACCCTTCTAAAAGACCTCGACTGTGTATTAGAATGGTCAAACAAATGGCAACCTCAAATCTCAACAAATAAATGCTCTGTCTTACATATTGGCAAAAATATATATATATCAGAAAATAAAATACAGGCTGAATAGTCAAGACCTTGTTGATGATCCAAACTCTGTCAAGGATCTTGGACTATTCATCTCTAATTATCTAAGTGCTAGAGCCCACTGTAACTACATAGCCAAAAAGGCGTTAAGAGTTGTTAACCTAATCTTACGTAGCTTCTTCTCTGGTAATATTACACTACTAACTAGAACATACAAAACATTTGCTAGACCAATACTCAAATACAGCTCCTCAGTCCGGAACCCACATTATGTATCTGATAGTAACACAATTGAGAAAGTCCAGAAATATTTCACAAGAAGAGTTCTCCACTCCTCTACTCATTGCAGAGTACCTTATGCCACCAGACTTGAAATTCTAGACCTAGAAAACAGAGAACTACACCACCTTCAGTCCGATCTAAGTATAGAATATAAAATCATACATTGCAATGTCCTACCTGTCAATGAATACTTCAGCTTCAGCCATAACAATACAAGAGCAAACAATAGATACCAACTCAAACTTTGAATTTCCCCTCATTTTAATTGAAATCCATTTCAGTGGTTTTTCTCTGCTTGTCAGATAAATTCAAAGGTAAGGAAGCCTTTTTATCTGATTTCCATGTTGTTTTTAATGGATTTGAGTGAGGCTAGAAAGATTCCTGCTTGAACTTATGGAGTCCATAATTTCTGCTCCTTACTACTGTTAGTACTAAAATAAATGGACAATAACTGAGTGAAAAGCAGCTCCTTGTGTTGCATTACTTTTCTTACCAGATCAAAGATTGATCCATCAAACTAACCCAAATAGTGTAGGAAGTTGTGTAACCTCTTAGACCAGGGGTGTCAAACTCGCAGCCCACAGGTCGGAAGTGTCACACACTGGCCACTCCCAACCCAAGTTTAGCGAAGGGGGAAAAAGTCATGATATGTCACATGAGGATGTGACAGTGTGCGTTTGACACCCTTGTCTTAGACCAAAGAAGTGATACAGACCATGTTGGTTCGAAAACCTTTATTTAGAAACATCCTCAATATAGTCATTTGATATATATATTTATGTATTTATTTATATATGTACATATACATTACAACCAATGTGTTTTCTTAATACCTCATCATCTTGTGGACTGTACAAAATTAATAAGAATAAAAGGTACCAATTCTGGTTATTTAATTTCTGTTGCAAAATTCAGAAAACCAAATGAATCTAAAAGGAATCCATTACACAGTACATCATTGACCAAAAGTGCTGTTTCTTTAGAATTGGAATCTAAGATGTTAAAGAGTGTTATATACACAAGACACAGGTCAGGATAGGAAAGGGAGGAGAGACACGAAGAACTAGAGTTGTACCATTAAAGCACAATTTAAAGAAGAGGATGACAAAGAGAGGGATGTAATATTCCATGGAAAAATACCTATGTATAAGGTATGCAGTCATTTTTAAAGCTAATTCTTCTTGCCTCCCACCTAGAAACAAATATTAAAAACATTAGTCTTCACCAACCTGGTGGACTTCAGATAGCTTACAGATCTACCAGCCAATAATCCTAATATATCTAGAAGTTAACACACAAAGGTATAGAAAGCTTAAATTAATCCATAGAAATCCTCCATACTGACCTGGGATGCATAAATATCCTGAAATATAAAGAGGGGAAGGGAAGAAGAAGAGAAGCTAAAGGAGATAAGAGTTATGTTGCATGATTCCAGGTTGGAATTCTGGAACATTTTGAACTTCTCAAACTGTAAATGAGATGTAATTGTGGTTCTTCTTCCATCTGCTCTGCACTCACATTCATTAGCTATATATAAATTACACTTACATCTTGTTCTTGAGTTTGCTGTTATTTCCCTCCCTTCAAATTTAAATTTCTTGCAATTCAAGAAAGTTAATGCTTAAAACAAACTTAGGGTTTGAACTTTTATCCTAGGCTACATTGGCTACCTTTGCTTTCCACTGGAATCAACAGGATGTATGACATGTCCCATTGACGTGATATGAATTATTGAAAAACTTCCTCTACAATAAGACTCTTGAACACATTTCAATTGTTATAACACTATAGCTGAAATTCTATAACATGTTCCAGAGAGAAATTTGCTTAACCAATTAAGATTATTAGAATAAATCAGAAACAATCAGTTTAAGTATAGACTTTCACTCTACATCTCCTTAATAGAAGACTATTTAAATAATTCTGGAGAATAGTTTCACATTTTTCTAGAAGATTCCTTTTAATCATGTCTGCCATGTTGTTTTGCTTGCTCAGAACAGATAAAGAGCCTGGAGCAGAGCACTGTTAGATATTAATACAGGCTGATTTGAAAATGTTTTGAAATGGCTTGCAAGTCTGAGAGAATTCCTGACACATCCAAAGTGGTCCCTTTTAGTCCCCCAAAATAATTAACCTATTTTGCAAAGTCACAGTATTGCTACTGGATTTGGTCAATGAATAATACAGTGCTTCCTATCTTGGAGTCTGTCAGAATTTTAGCTAATGAATTGGGGAGGTTAGAGTTTCAGAACATCTGGAAGGCATTTGAAAGACTGCAAAATTATCAACCAATGCATTTTACTCTAAATAGAAGATGCAGGAGTCTTGTGCACTTCATAAAATCTAAATTAATTTTTCCCAAGATACAAGAACATGCATAAGGAGAAATCATTTCTAAAAGGGAAACCAAACTAAATAAAACATTTGAAAGTTAATACTTGTTAGCAAAAATACTTGTTTATGCATGATCCTGTTCTACAAGGATATAAAGATATAAAGATATTAACAGGGTACTTTCTATAGTAAAAAGAAGAATGTCTTAATTTTCACTTCTGAACATTTTAGCCCTGGCATTCTTATTCAGAAACTCTGGTGAGATGCAGTCAAGCCTACTAAAGTTGCAGGCTTAGAAGTAATTCAGACCAACCACCTCCGAGCTTATCACAACTTTCTTCTGAGAAAACAGGCACAGAATTGCCCTGTTAAAACCCAAAGAC